ACGGGACGGGGTTCTGGTCTCCCCCATTAACGGGGTTGCTCTGGGGGCCCAGTCCCTCCTGGCTCAATAGCGGGTGCTTAGAGGTCCCCCGTGGCCTTGAAATTGGATGGGCACGGGGTCCTGGCCCCTACAGCCCGGCGCTTGGGTGGGCACAGAGGTCCCAGCCTTTTTTTTTAGCCCGGCGCTCGGGCCGGCCCAGGGGTCCCAGCCCCCTGTAGCCTGACGTGGTTGTGGGCACAGGGTCCTGTCCCCCGTCCAGCCCTCCCAGGCTCAGTCCCTGTCCCCGCTCCCCAGGATGTGGTGGCCCACGCTGCTGGCCCTGCTGGCCCCCGCGGCGGTGGCCCAGCTGCACCCCGAGCGGGAGCTGAACACCCAGTGGGACCTATGGAAGAAAACCTATCGCAAGCAGTACAACGGCAAGGTACGGCAGAGCCCCACGGGAGGGGACCGGCCCCTGGGGGATTCCTGGGGGGAGCTGGGGACCACCCTGGTGACGTCCCCGTGGGGCTGGTGCTGGTGTCCTTGGGGGTGTCCCCGCGGTGGTTGTGGGGGCCGTGGGCAGGACCCCTCCGCCCAGCGCCGTCTCACCCCGTGGTGCAGGCGGACGAGGTGGCGCGGAGGCTGATCTGGGAGAAGAACCTCAGGTACATCAACACCCACAACCTGGAGCACGCGCTGGGCGTCCACACCTTCGAGCTGGCCATGAACCACCTGGGCGACATGGTGAGTGTCGCTGGCGGGGGACGGTTGAGAGGGGACCGAGCACCCTTGGGTGCTGCTCTGCCCACCAGTCCCAGGGCTGCGCCCATCCACCCCGGGCTCCTTCCCCAGACCAGCGAGGAGGTGGTGAGGATGATGACGGGCTTGAAGGTGCCCCGTGGCCGCCCACGTCGCAACGAGACGCTCTACGTCCCCGACTGGACCGAGAGAGCCCCGGCTGCCGTGGACTGGAGGAGGAAAGGCTACGTGACGCCTGTCAAGAACCAGGTAAGCAGGGTGCTCCCGGGGGTGCCCAGGGCGGGGTGGCACCCCGGTGTCACCCATCGTGTCCCCATAGGGCCAGTGCGGCTCGTGCTGGGCTTTCAGCTCGGTGGGCGCGCTGGAGGGGCAGCTGAAGCGGAAGACAGGGAAGCTGCTCTCCCTCAGCCCCCAAAACCTGGTGGATTGCGTGACCAACAACGACGGCTGCGGGGGCGGCTACATGACCAACGCCTTCGAGTACGTCCGGCAGAACCGCGGCATCGACTCGGAGGATGCCTACCCTTACATCGGCCAGGTCCGGGGCTGGGAGGGGGGGTAAGGTCTCCATCTGCTCTCCCCCCGACTGCCCTCCCGTCCCCATCTCACCTCGACCTCGCCGGTCCCACGCAGGATGAGAGCTGCATGTACAGCCCCACCGGGAAGGCAGCCAAGTGCCGCGGCTACCGGGAAATCCCCGAAGGGAACGAGAAGGCTTTGAAGAGGGCCGTGGCCAGGATCGGACCCGTCTCCGTGGGCATCGACGCCAGCCTGGCCTCCTTCCAGTTCTACAGCCGGGGTGAGGGGCTGGGGGGGAACCCCCTCCGGTGCCAACTGGCCGCGGGGCAGCTTGGGGAGACTGAGGCACGGCCGGGTGGTTTATCCGGCGCGTAACCATCCGTCCCGTCCCCCAGGCGTGTACTATGACGAGAACTGCAATGCCGAAAACATCAACCACGCGGTGCTGGCGGTGGGCTACGGCACGCAGAAGGGCACCAAGCACTGGATCATCAAGAACAGGTACGGCACGACGGCGGGGCTGCTTTTCACCGGGTCGGGGTTTGCCGGCGGCTCTGCCGGCGGCTCAGGCTCTGCCTTTTCTCCTCACAGCTGGGGCAAGGAGTGGGGCAACAAGGGCTACGTCCTCCTGGCGCGCAACATGAACAACGCCTGCGGCATCGCCAACCTCGCCAGCTTCCCCAAGATGTGAGCGCTCCCGGCGCGCTCCCTTCCCGCGCCGCATCCAGCCGCCCTCCCTGCTTCCCTGTGTTCAAACTCGGCCTTTTCGCTCCCAACCTCCGAAGCTGACGTCGCTCCGGGGGGTGGATCTCTGCCTCTCCATGAGAAATCTCCCCCCGGGAAAGGGGAGAGACCCCCCCAGCTGCAGAGGAACGGCTGTGATCGGCTCCCCCCAACTCTCTTTTCCCGGGACTCCTTTGCCGTGCCGGCACCGTGTGTGCCCAGTTCTGCCTTCCCGCGGCCGCAGACACTCGGGGTCGGGCTTGGCCGGCTCCAGAGAGTCTGATCCGTCCGGAGATGCTTGTGCAAAGGTCCCACGCCGGCCTCCGCCTGCGGGAGCGCGCGGGCAGCGCCGCAGGTGGAATATCCCCCACGGAGAGCACGGATCTGTCTCCCCCCTCCACCCTGCATCCCCGTGGGGGCTGCAGAGAACGATATGACTTTATTTTTAAAATAAACACTATTGGGAATAAACGCTCGGGCTGGTTTGCTCTGTGCTGTCCTGGCCCCGTGGTGGGATGGGGCTGCAGCGGTGGAAAAGTCCTTCCCTTTCCCAAGGGGGCAGGAGCCGATGGTAAAACTCAACTGAATCTGGGGCGAAGCGGGGAAAAAAAGATGCTGCCGGGGTCTTTTTGCAAAATCCTGGTTGGTTTTGCAGGACCCCTGAGACGGGTTGAAGAAACGGGGCGGGGGGAAAGGAGGGAGAAGAAAGCGGAGCAATGAATAAACAGCCGGTGCGGGCTGCAGCGCCGTGGCTTCGGGGTAAAGGTCTGTGCCAGGGCTGGGTGGCGTTTCGCAGCCAAAACCCCCATGCCGCCCCAAAAACCCAAATCCAAGCGCTCCTTTTAATGAAACAAATTGACAAACGACTGCAGCAAAGCTCAGGGCCAGCCCTAGCAGGAAGGGAAGGTGACGTTCGCTTTAAAAACTCACGCCAAAAAAAAAAAAAAAAAAAAGTTTAGACACTTAAAAATAAGTTTCTTTTTCCCGCTCACAGCCACGCACCAAAACGTGGGTGGCGGATGGCCGGGCCGGGCGATGGAGAGGATGAGGGATGCTGGTTAACTCATCGGGGCCTGCCAGGATGCGCCGTCAGGGTTGTTTAAGACCAGAATGCTGTGAAAAGAAAGTGAAATCGGAGCGTTTCCTCGTTCACTGGCTCCTGGCGGCAGCAAGCGGAGGGACCTCCTCGCACCCCTGTGCTGTCCCAGGCCCCCCCGAGGCCGAGCCGGGCTCCGTGGAAAGCTGCACCGTGGCCGGGCAGGCAGGTGAGACATCTCCCTGGGGTGATTTTTGGCTGGAGAACAGGCAGAAATGGTCCCTTTGCACTCGTCTGCGGGACGGAGTTCATCTCCACCTCCCTGGTGCGTGTCCCTCGACTGCTCCTTTTCCTCGAGAGCTGCCGCAGCGATGGAGGCGGAAAGTTGGCAGAGGAAATACTAAAGCTGCACCGTGGCCGGGCAGGCAGGTGAGACATCTCCCTGGGGTGATTTTTGGCTGGAGAACAGGCAGAAATGGTCCCTTTGCACTCGTCTGCGGGACGGAGTTCATCTCCACCTCCCTGGTGCGTGTCCCTCGACTGCTCCTTTTCCTCGAGAGCTGCCGCAGCGATGGAGGCGGAAAGTTGGCAGAGGAAATACTTGGGGATGCGCGAAGTTTCCTTAGAAGCGACTTTCTTGGGGGGGGGGGTGGCACTGCAGGTGCGCGTGCGGGAGGGGTGTCATGGTGGCACTGGGGCCGCAGAGCATCGCTCTGTGACCGGAGACAGCCCCTCGCCAAGGAAAAAGGCACTAAGGGGAATGGGGGTGGCTTTGGGAATCGGTGGGGAAATAAAACCCCCAGGCTGGGGTCTGGCACTGCCCTCCCCGGTCCCAGCTGAGCGGGATGAAGCTGCTGGCTTCCATCGCCTTCCTGGCCGCGCTTGCGGTGACACTGGGACACCCTGACCCCGCGCTGGACTGGCACTGGCAGCTCTGGAAGAAAACCTACGGCAAGGAGTACCGCCACGAGGGAGGGGGGGACTCGGCGGG